TACTATTAATACTTAGAACCTTAAATAATATCCTATTTTGCCTATTCACTTATAGTATAGAATAAATATAAGAGAACTATTATTTAACTTTAATCCTAGTCGATAATATAAAGAAAGTTTATTTAAACTTTAAATAATATATTTAAAGTTAAATAATATATTTAAAGTTAAATAAGTATCTTCTTTATATATGTAAAGATATTTATAATTCTATTTAATTATTACCTATATATATATTAAGCTTAAAGTAATTAATTATATATATAATATTATATTCTTATCTATTCAACCTTATTGATATCAAATTAAATAAATTACTTAGGTAAGATATTCTAAAATAAAGTAGTACTCTGGTAATTTAAAGAACTAGTCTACAGAGAAGGCTCGCCTCTAAATTAGTGTTCTCCTCGCTAGTTATCAGAATGATATACTGATTAAAGGCTGCATTAGTAACAGTATCACGGTCTCCAGGAGATACTCCTGGATGAATACTCTGGTCGTCAATAACCCTTTGATACCAACAATGTGCCAGGTGATGGAGACCGAGCATGTGGAACGAACGTGCCACTGTAAAAAGCGCCTCACGTCTCTGACTATCGGAGCCATTCATACGACAACTCGCGTATTCGAACAAACACGCAAGACCCTGCATAATAAGGTATTGCCGATTTTCCGACTGCCGCTTTAAGCCATGATGGATGTAGCCAAGTCCAACGCTGAGGTTTATCATCGGGTTCATAGGATCGAGCGAGCGGGCCCGCAAAAAATAGTCTGTCGATATATCAGCGGCTGTACGGAAAACAACTGTCATAATAACATGTCCAGCATGAACTCACTGAGGGCATAGGTATAACTGGTCGAGGTGAACAGAATGTGGCCGTAGAGCGTGAGTAAACACACATCGAGATTTCTTGTTTGCCCCTGAGCTGTTGAATTGTCCACCGGGATCGTTACCTGGGTTTCCTGGTTGAGTTGACCGAAGCTGTGTAGCATCGATCAAGCGAATCTGCTCGTAGTATATACTTCTGGACGGACCCGAGTTATACCACGATGCAGGAGATTGATACATCGACATAGAGCGGCAAACTATGCGATAAGAATCCGAGTCGAGTTGCTGTACTTTTGTGAAGAATCTTGCCATAGCAACGCACATCTCCTCGTCTCCGAGATAAATTGCACATGCTATTCACATATAAGTTAGATATGTCCAGATGCCGTGAGGCAGGTTTCAAACTTACCGGCCCATGCCACATGAATGAGAAACATGAAGTCTTTTGAGTTCACGAAGACAATCGAGTCTCGAGCGGCCTCGCAGACCTGATAGGCTTCGTGGCCATGTCCCTCGAGCGCCAGGCTTATTGCAAAATCAAGAAACAGCTCCAGCCACTCTCCAAAAGGTATACCGCGGTGGCCGTCATCATCCGATGGCACATGAACCCTGCCATCGTCCCCCTGTGAAGGTGCAACGTCTGTTTCAATATGTCAACGATAGACCTAAAATATGGGAAACTTTCGTGTACTCACTCCGAGACAATCTCTCGGCCAGCTCGTGCAGTTCTGATGTGCCTGTACCGTACTGCGTCTCGATAGGAGCGTTGAAGACAATCCCCTCGCTCGCGCCCAGGTACTTAACGTATTTGTCCCAAGTATAAAACTTCCTAAAGGAGCGAAAATCATCCACGAGGTCTTTCGCTGCTGCCATCCATATTGGTATGAGCCCTCGGTTGCCTTCTTGGATCCCCCTCTTGAGGTCACGTACTTCCTTGTGGCGTCGCGAGAGCTCGTCAGCCCGGTCACGCTCCTCCCGCCGTCGTTGGTCGGGCGCGACCAATCTTTTAGGTCGATACCGGGGTCTCACAACTGAACCTGGAGCTGGGTTGTGCCCGTGCGGCCGTTTTCTGGTTTTAGTGGTTGCGTCCGCGTCTGCCGAATACGCATCAGTTTTGCCGCGAACAGCACGATATGCATGTTCTTCAGCGCCCTGCAATGCAATAGCTTCTGTGACGAGGATGAGTGCTTCCTCATCTTCCCTAGCATCCTCGTAAATCTTAGCGAGTTCGATGCGAGCCTCAATGTTGCTATCGTCCACCTGTATGGTGAGTAAAAAACAGTCTTCAGCTGCACCAGTGTCACCTTTAGTGAGATGGCATTTGCCAAGATCGAGCAGAAGGTCTGGGTCTTGACCATAGACAGAATTTCGTAGGAGCTCGTAGTAGTCGAGAGCCCGCAAAGCATCGCCAGATGAGTTTAGAGCATCCGCGATATCCCGTATCAAGCCTGGGAAGTCATCAACAGCTGAAGCGTTGCGCTTTCTGTGGATCTAGCCACTGAAGATGTCTCT